AAATATTAAATTAAACATAAAAAATCCATATATTAATCCCTAATGTTGTGTTTGGATAAGTTGACAGAAACTCTTTTAATTTAACTAGAAATCTTGGTTTTAAGTCTTAAGAATGCAGATTCATTAAAATTTGTGAGGGAGAACTTTGTCATCCGTTGAGTCTTGCTCAATTCAAATTTAGATTAATCAGTGACTCAAAGAAAAAAAAATTTCGGGTGGTCCAAAGAAAAAAAAAAAAGGCACACTCCAAAAGACTCAAGAGCTGTTCCCACTGTGAAAGTGAAACTTGGGCTACTGCCCTGGAGAAAACTCCATCAGGAGTTTGGAAGGGGATGATTTGGACATGTCTTGTGAAGCTTGTAAGAATTTTAGTTTTTTTATATTATTTATATTTTATAAATATAATTTTAAAAAAAAGTTATATTTTTTTAATTTTTTTTTAATTTTAAAAAGATTTTAAATAATAAATTTTGAAAATTTTTAAATTTGTGTTTTTTATAAATTTTTTAACTCATTTTTTACTTATTTTTGTTTTATTTTTAAAACTAATTTTTAAATTTTTTTTCTCTAATAAAAATTTAAATTTATCATATATAAATAATAAAAAAATAAAATTTTTTACAAATTTCACTAAATATACTCTAAGTAAAATGCTTTTCTATAATTCTATCGTCTTCTCATGGAGGCATATGTGGGCAAAACAGTGTTGTCTCGTCTTTCCACGGTGGGATATACCCGTGCCAAGGAAACGTGTAAGTTTTGTTTTTCTGCAAGACAATATAACATTTGTTACTATAAACAAAATTTTTTATAAATGCTTATTTGAGAGTGCTGCACGCAATATTCTTTCGGCATATTATTTAATAATATAAATTTACTATCATAAATAATTGATTTAAATAATTAAATGATAATTTTTTTAATAAAAACAAAAAATTTTGAATTTAAATAATATGATACGTAAGTAATATAAGTTAAGGAATCAAAAATAATTATTTTTTATTATATAATTCAAAATAAAAAAAATTTATTATCATAAATAATTAATTTTAAATAATATTTTATATATTTTTAAAATAAAAACAAAAAACACAAAAACCTACA